GGGGGGGGGGGGGAAAAAAAAAGATTAAAATAATTTAAAAAAAAAAATGTTTTTTTTTTTTTAAACCCTGAGGGGGAAATTAAAAAAACACGTTGGGGATTTTTAAAATTTAAAATTTTTTTAAAAAAAAAAAAAAAAATTTCCGGGTAAAAAAAAAAATTTAAAATGGGAAAATTTATTTAAAAAAAAAAACTTGGGAAAAAAAATAAAAACGGGGTTTAAAATGGGAAAATTATGAATCCAAAAAAAAAAAATAAAAATAAATAACAAAAAAAAAATTTGGCCTCAATGGACAACCACAAAACAGGTTTTACAGGGAAAATTTTATGTAATAGAAAGTCTTTCCCGATTCTTTGCGACAAAATTTTTTACAACACCTTAAAACGGCCCACACTTAATCGTAAACTATAAAATCGAATATAGAAAATTTGTAACCGATAAACCAATATAAATCAAACAGTCCCTTTTGTAAATAAGATAATATTTTTCTTTTGAAATATATTTATTTGGCGAAGTCGAGATTTCAAGAACTGGGAAAATAATATCCAAGGAATCACTTCATATAATCTTTTGAAATAATTGTAGTAATAACAGTGATTAATAATGATATGATGATAATCTTTGGTAAAGTTTATAATGCTGATAATGATGACAGTGATAATTGGTTATTGATGATAATGATAGAGATGTGGTAATGATAAATAATGGTAATGAAAATAATAACAATAACGATAGTAATAGATAGTAATGCTAATGATAATTGATTTAACAATAGTTAATAGCGAAAGGATTTAATGATTGATATTGATAACAATGATGGACGATGACCGATGATAAGAGTAATTATTTACAAAATTATAGCAATGATAGTAATTATGTATAATACCAAATATAATAACAATAAAGATGATGATCACAAATTAGCACAAAATTTACAATAATTATACACCAATTATACATAGAAATACACAAATGTAAAAGATTAAGAGCTGCAAAATATGTATACATCACTTGACAAAACCCAATTAAAGAAAAGACCCACAAAAAACAAACAAACGGAATAAACAAACATAGAAATTCGTTCTGTAGTTAATTACATGAATCAATAAATGTATAACATACACAAATAAATAAATAAAATAAAATGGAAGACCTTACAAAAGGAGAGAGAGAGAGAGACGATTGAGAGGAGAGAGAGAGAGCGGAGAGACGAGAGGAGAGAGAGAGAGAGAGGAGAGAGAGAGAGAGAGAGAGAGAGAAGAGAGAGAGAGAAAGAAGAAAGAAATACAACAATAAGCCAAAGATATGAAAAGCAAAATTCAGTCAAAAACCTTCCGACATTCTCAAACACATATCCGCAATTGAATAAATAAATCAATAATATTATTAAGACAAAATTAAATAAAATAAACAAATAAAAACTCCAAAAGAAGGAGAAAGAAAGAAAGAAAGAAAAAAAGGCAAACATCAAACAACAATAAGCCAAAGATATGAAAAGCAAACACTGTCAAAACCCGCCCGACATTTCAGACACAGAAAGTGGCCGTAGTTAAAACAAATTACCATATAAAGCCTCGGGGGCATAAAACCCATCGTACCGCTATCATTCCCTTATTCCTGCGCTCTCTCGGGGCTCTGTCGGGTATATTCGGGAACATTTCGGGAATATTCGGTGTTCTCTCTCGGGTTCACTCGGGCTTTCTCGGCCTATAATTCGGGAATATTCGGGTCTCTCGGGGCTCTTTTTGGACTCACTCGGGTATATTCGGAAACATTCGGGTTCTCTCGGGCTCACTCGGGTTTTCTCGGGATCATTCGGGAATATTCGGGCTCTCTCGGGCTTACTCGGGGTCACTCGGGCTCTCTTGGGGCTCCACTCGGGGTCTCTTCGGGCTCTCTTGGGGCTCACTAGGGGTCTTTCTTCGGGGCTCACTCGGGAAAATTCGAGTACTCTCGGGATCAATCGGGCTCTCTCGGGGCTCTCTCGGGACCATTCGGGAACATTCGGAAACATTCGGCCTCTCTCGCGCTGACTCGGGCTCATTCGGCTTCGCTCGGCTTCTCTCGGCTTCGCTCGGGCTCACTCGGGCGAACGGCTGTGCTGCAAGTTTTAATTAAAGCGTGTAAAAGCCGACCCCACCCTCACTCCCCGTGTCGTATGCGCTGGTGCTTGCTGTTCGATGCTTCTACGGAGGTGGGGAGTTGCTCCAACATTTTCCGCGTCTTTTTTTTCCTTTTTCTCTTTTCTTTAACAGTTTTTCGTGTTTTTTTTTCTTCCTTTTTCTCTATTTTTTTTTTCTTCGATACTCTCCATGTTTCTTTCTTTCTATTTTCTCCATTTCCTTGATTTATCTTTTTCTTTTTTTTCTAACATTTTCTTGCTTCTTCTCCTCCCTCCTCCATCCTCCCTTCACTTCTTCCTCTTCTCTCTTCTACACGTTCCTTCTTCTCTTATTTCCCTCACTTTCTCCTTACCACGCTCTCTTCCTTTTCCTCTCCTCTCCTCATATTCTCTTTCTTCCTCCTTGCCCTCTCTCCTCCTTCTTCCTCTCCATCTTTCCTTTCCTCCTTCTTCCCATCTGGTCTCTGTCTTCTTTCCTCTTTTTTCTCCTCCTTCTTCCTTCCTCTCCCTTTATTTCCTCCTTCTCTCTCCGTTTCCTCCTCTCTCTTCTCTTTCCTTTCTTCCATTTCCCTTCTTCCTCTTCTCTCCTTCTTGACCTTCCTTTCCCTCCTCTTTCTCCTCCTTTTTCCACCCTTTCCACCTCCACCTCCTCCTCTTCCTCCCTCTCCTTCGCCTTTACTCCTCCTCCTTCTCTTCCTCCTTCACCTCTCTCCCCTCTTTTGCCCTCTTTCCTTTCTCCCTTACCTTATCCCCTCATCTATCCCTTTTGAATATTCTATTTTTATCTATTTTTTTCATTCTTTATATTTTATCTTTTTTATCCTTTTTCTAAGAATTGTCAGTCAGCATATTTGACTCTTACTTTTTATTTTGTAATTTTTTCTTTTCTGTATTGTATATTTCTGATTTTGAAAAAAAGTTCACACACACACAATATACAATGTATGTATGTATGTATGTATCTACTGTATATACATACTATATATATATATATATATTATATATATATATATATTATATATATATATATATGCATATATATATATATATATATATATATATATATATATATAAGTATATATATATATATATGTATATATACACACACACAACATATATGATATATATATATATATATATATATATATATATATATATATATATATAATATACTATACATACCATATATATATATATATATATATATATATATATATATATATATATATAATTATACGTATAGAAAACAAAAAAAGAAAAACAAATAGAAAACAAAACAAAAAACAAAAACAACGAAACAAAGACCAAAACCAAAATCGAAAACAATTAGGCCCAAACAAAAACAAAAACAAAAAACAAAACGAAAAAAACAAGGACAAATAAACACAAACAAAAAACAAAACAAACAAAACAAAAGACAAACGCGCGAGTGATTATCCCTCCCCCCCTCCTTCCTACCCCACCCCCTTCTCCCACCTCCCACTTCTCCTTCCTACTCCCTTCTCCCCACCTCCCTCTCTCTCCCCCTATCCTACCCCCTTCCTCCCCCTCCTCCCGTCCCCCCATTCCCCCCTATCCCAACCCTCCCCCTCTCCTCTCCCTACCCTCCCCCCCTCCCTCCTCCCCCCCTTTTCCCCATCTCCTCCTCCCTCCCCCTCTCCTCCCCCCTCTCTCCCTACCCCTCTCCCACCTCTTCCCCTCTCCTCCACCTCTCCCCCTCCTCCCCCCTCCTCCCTACCCCCTCCCATCTCCCACCTCCCTTACCTCCCCCCTCCCCCCCTCCCCTCCCCTTCTCCATCCCCCTCTCCCTCCCTCCCCCCCTCTCCCTCCCTACCCCCTCACCTTCTCATTCCCTCTCCCCCCCCCCTCACCTCCCTCCCCCACCGTCTCCCCCCTCCACCTCCCCCTCCTCCCCCCACCTCCTCCCTACCCTCCCCCCCCCCGCCTTGGTCCCGAACCGCGAAATGACGATCCGCTTTTTCGGAATTAATGGATCGTCGCGAACTTTTAATGCGGGCCAATTTCCGTCTTCTGCAAACTGATTCATTAGAGAGAGTCCGGTCCGTTCCGTCCCCGCCGTTCACTGTCTGGCTGCTGCCTCGGTTCCGTTCCGTGCCGTTCCGGTCCGCTGTGTTTCGTTTGTGTGTGTTTTTTTTTTTTTTTTTTTTTTTTGTTTTTGTTCCGTTCAATATCTTCTTTTGGTTCATTCCGTTCCGATTGCGATGCGTTCGTTTGTGTTTTTGTTTTTGCTTTTGTTTGGTTCGTTCCTTTCCATCCTTCTTTAGTCCGTTCCGTTCCGTTCCGATCCGGTGCGTTCGGTTTTTTGTTTTGTTTTTGCTTTATTTTGTATTTTTTCCGTTCCGTTCCGTCTCTTGTTCTTGGCTTGCTCCTCCCTCCCCTCCTTGGTCCGTTCCGTTCCGTTCCGATCCGCTGCGTTCCGTCTCTGATTTTTGTTTTACTTTGCTTTTTATTTATTTTTTAAATTCTTTCCGTTCTTTCCGCTGCAGTCCATTCCTCTTTTTGCTTTGTTTTATTTCTGTTCCGTTCCGTTCCGTCTCTTGTTGTTCTTGGCTTCTTCCTCCCTCCCCTTCTTGGTCCGTTCCGTTACGTTCCGATTCGCTGCAGTCCATTATCTGTTTTTGTTTTTTTCTGTTTCTTTTCGTTCCGTTCCGTCTCTGCTGTTCGTGGCTTGCTCCTCCCTCCCTCCCTTCGCCTTGTTCCGTTCCGTTTCGATCCTTTTGCGTTCCTCTCCTGTTTTTCTTTTTTCGTTTTCTGTTTCAGCCTTTTTTTCAGCTTTGTTTTTGTTTTGTTTTTTGTTTTGCTTCTGTTTTGTTTTTGTTTTGTTTTTTTTTTCTTTGTTTTTTTAAATTTCAATTCTGTTTCATTCCGTTCCGTTCCATCCCACTATTCACATGTTGCCCCCCCCTTCCCCCTTTCCTACCGGTCCGTTCTGATAACGCTGTTTTTTTCTGTTTTGTTTTATTTCTGTTTAGTTCTTTCTCTCTCTGTTCCATCTGTTCTATTACATTTCTGTTTCGTTCTTTCTCTCTCTGTTCCATATCTTTCTATTCTATTACATTTTGATCATTTTTGTTTCGTTTCTTTCCCTTCTGTTCCGTTCCCCTCCATTCCTCTCTGTTCCGTTCAGTTCCCTCCATCGTTCAAGAAACCTTCATCCTCTATATTGTTCTTTTCTCTTCTTTTTTCATTTTCTCTCCTCTCCCGGTATCCTTATTTGTCCCGTTCCTCTGTTCCTCTGATCCACGTCTTTGTTCCCCGTTCCTCTTAGCAGCGTTCCGTTCCTTTGTTCCTCGTTCTTGCTCTCCCCTTTTTAACCATCTTTTTCGTTTATTTTATTTATTTATTTAGAAAGGGTGATCCACTCGGCTTGTGAGGTAGTTTGCTGTCTCTCTCTTTTCCTCTTTCGTTGTTTTTCTTTCTGTTTGTCTATCTGTGTCTCTCTTTTTTATGGAGTTTTCTATCTCTTTCTTACTTTGGGTTTAGTTCCTTCTCTCTGTGTCTATCTGTCTGTCTATCTGTGTATTTCCTCTTTGTATCTCTCTTCTCTTCTGTCTCGTTTCCTTCTCTCTCCTCTCTTCGGTCTCTTTTCTTTTCTTTCTCTCTCTCTTCTTCTCTCTCTTCTCTCTCTTCTCTTCTTTCTCTCTCATCCTCACTCCCTTCCTCTCTCTCTCTCATTATCATCACCTTCCTTCTTCCTCTCCCTATTCCCTCTCTTTCTCCCCCAATCTTTCCCTCCTCTCTCGCCATTTCTCGCGCCTTCCGTGAACGAGCGAGAGCAGCGCGGCGCGGGCTGTTCCTCTCCCATTTAGGCTTTTAGTGTTGCCTTATAATCCCTGCCTTATTTTGTCAGATGCGAAAAGCTTTCACCTCATTATTCATAAATGTCAGTCAGCTTCCCTGCCATGGGTGAGGGCGGCGAGCTCAGCGGGGGAGCTGGAGCGCGGCGGGTTTAAGATTTTTTTTTTTTTTTTTTTTTTTTTTTTTTTGAGAGGGAGGTGATCGTCGTGCTACTTTGTGGTAATTTTATGTATATATTATATATATATATATATATATATATATATATATATATATATATATAATATATATATATATGTATATATATAATATATATAATATATATAATATATATATATTATATATATAATATATATATATATATATATATATATGTATATATATATATATATAATAATTATATATATATATATATATATATATAATATATACATACATTTATGAATATATATATTATTATATATATATAATATATATATATATATATATATATACATACATATATGAATAATATATATATATATATATATATATTATATATTATATATATATATATGTATGTCCATATTTCATATCTGTATATATACAATATATGAATATATATATATATATATATAATATATATATATATATACATACAATATATATATATATATATATTATATATATTATATATAATATTATATATATTATATATATAATATATTATATAATATATATATATATATATAGTATCATACATATATATATATATATATATATATATATATATATATATATATAATATATATAGTGTATGTAATTGTTCAATATCTGTATATATACAATTTCTTACACCCGAAAGACGAAAGACAACGACGTTATCCCGAAGTATTGCCATGTGGACGAAATGTAACGGATGGACCAAAAGATTGATTCGCACACACACACACACACACACACACAACCACACACACATACAGGATGAAAGTCTATTTCATATAATACGTCTCCATATACTTTAAAATTAACATGACGGTCATCCCGAAGTGTCGCCATGTGGGAAGAAATGTAACGGATGGATAAACAGATGG